TTAACGAGGTAGGGGGTCTCTTCAAAGCTCCTCAATTGGTCAATTGATGTAAAAACAAAGAATAGCCTAAACAAAAGCGAACATAACCTGATAAAAATCTCCATCGTCTCCCCCAATTAACAGTCTTATTACCCTCTGATTAGAATAAGAGTTCGACTCATCAGACATATAGCATCGCTATAAGCTTAAGCGAAATTCTAAACGCGAATCTCTGGAAGTAACGTAACAAAATATTGGTTCAATGTACATGCATGCAATGAGCTTAAATCATCCTCAATCCTAGAGATTCTAGAGAAAAATGTTTTACACGAAAAGTTTTCTTCTTAAGTCTTTTATTTTAAACGTTCACCGCTTTAAGGTGAATCAGTCAAGTGTGATGATGCAACTTGACTGCATAGATTTTTGCTGTTTGCATTGCTTTTCTAACATTTCAAACAACAGCCTTGAGGCGATGTTTCTTTTAAATTTTGTTACAGAAAATTAGTTTTCATAAAAAAGAAAAAAGCGAGAAAAACTTAAATAAAAACAATTGCAAATGAAGCCGTAATAATAGTAAAAGTGAAGCGAACAAATGCACATACGATATGCAAATTTATGTACATACCATCCAACGTAATGTTTTAAAGTTATTTAACATGAAATTAAAAAAAAAAAAAAAAAAAAAAAAGCACAAAGAGATACACAAGGCCGTTCACTTTAAATACACGTATAATAAAAATCAATGGAAAATAAAAGAAACTCAAAAAAAATATATTTAAGAATATATTTTATGCGCATATTTTCTTATTAACTTTTTTGTTACGGTTTTGTACAACAACAAACTTTATATTTTTGCATTTAAAGTGCATTTCTTGGTTACAGCAACAAAGATTACCTTTTAATGTTTATACTTATATTTATTTCGGAGTTTTGCAATTATACCGAGAGTTTAGCAAGTTTATTAAATGCTTATAAAGCACGAAACGGCCAATCAAAGACCTCATTCATACACTATAAATAATTTCAATGAGCATTAAGAGTGAAATAGTGATTTTAATCGGCTATCGAGCTCTTTGATGCAAGTGATATGCAATATAATGCTCGTTGGTCAGCGCGTCTCTATATACACCTACAAAGATTATTATGGCTACTGTCTTGTAACGTGTATTTTTAATGAAGATATGCAGAGCAAGAACGCGGAAAACATAACAAAAAGGGAAGATGCAGTTTTATGCAAAGCCACCAACGCAACAAAAAATAAGCGACGTTAAGGGCCAACATGCTAAAGAAAAGTCTATCAGTCTTCATTATTTTTTTCTGGATGGTACAGGAAGTAATAAATATAATAGTATATAATAAAAAAAAATAAATAAATATATAAATAGAATATAATAACAAAAAATGGCAACATCGTCCCAAATTCCCCCGGGAGGAAACTTTAACATAAAGAACTCTAAAGCATGCAGTGTGCCGGATACGTAAATATGAAACCAGAGTTTGGTCATAAATGATCTTAACACGGCCATTCCACGGTCTGTAGAGGATATACATGTCCGAGGTTTTTCATAGCTGACATATCTAGCAACAGTTAGCAATCCTATTACTAACATATATCGCATGGCTGGAATACTTTTTCTAACGACGTCAAGACCTTTGGCCAAACAAAAAGCATTCGTCGAGAGCATTTTCTCTTTGCCGTAACGATACTTAAGAAAATACTCCTTGCATCAAATGATAAGACATGAAAATTGGATCTATTTTGAGGGTTCCAGCCAAAATATTCAACGATACATTCGGGCGTAGGCAGCAAAACGATATTCTTTGTTCGAAGGGACTGGACGATGTCTCCAGCGGTTTAATGTGAGTACCTGTATAGAAGCTTGACCGCGCTATGCCCGCTAGTGCATGAGTGGTTTTTCCGAGCCCCAGCCAAAAGAAGCTCGTTTACGTAGTGTTATATGGAAACAGCGCCCCTGACCCCGTGGAGCTTAAATTTAGGCTATATAGCCTTCAGCATTACCTTATATGACCGCAGTCACACTTCCATTTGGATCTACCATACCATCCCTGTTAGTCAAATCGAAACTATTCTCTCTCAAGGCACACCGACGAAGCCTGTTCCCTGCTCTCGCATACTAATCTACTTCTCCGTAATTGCATACCGCTGCAGTTAGTTTATATTTCCTTCATAGTAACCATCTATTGGAAGAAAAAGTGCTCTTATAACGAAAACGAAACATCTTCCAGTGCACCTTTTAGCAATCGATGAGAAAAACCTGTTGCCCATTTACAGATAGTCAAGCCTTAAATTTTTCTTCGCCGCCCAATGTCCGTTACACAGGATCACCAGGTTGAGGAGAGAATTTCAACACATCCATTAAACTTAATTTATCATTCTGTAAAATCGGACCAATGGGGTCTGCTGTCTGCTGTTGAAATGGTTTGTTGAAATGGTTTATGCCAACACCGCCAAGAGCAGTTAATCAATTTGAAATGTTCGCTTTTCAAAAAACGAATGATGTGTCAGAAAACGTAACGTAACATGTACCCATCTTCCCGTCCATGGACAAAATTGATTCGCGATGCATTACATGCTCCCAGCCGGGAAGTGCTAGTCTAGGTGGCTTGCTCACCGAACTCGAGTCATTTCGATTACCACGTGGTTTTATCGATGAGACACGCACTCGCTCGGTAGCGCTCCCCTTTCGGAGAAAAAGTACGAAATCTACGGCTCGACGACCGGATTGCCTTAAAGGATCAATAGTTTTGTTTTTGACATGACATCCACAAATTGTTAGAGAGGTACAAAAAATTTATAGATAGCGTTAGGCAATACTTTGGGTAGGATATGTTTTATCATTTTCATGCAGTAAAAGTGCATTTTCTGTAACTGGTCCAGCTATGAATTAAAGTAATATATAAAAATTGCTTAATATTCGTGTCTGTATCTAGAAGAAGAGGTTATCCTTTTTTAATATAGTATATTTAAATTAGCTCATCCAAGCAAGTGACATCCCCCTCCTCCGCCCTGCTCCGCCGCTTATCACAAATAAATTCGCCTTTTAAGGTATTGTGAAAAGTGTTTGCTTGAAACTGTGGAATTATGCTGTTTGACGCTTTGAAAAATCGTATTTTAAGAACTTGTAAAATGTATAGGTTTTTTTTTTCTATTCGTAAAAATTATATTTAGTCTTTGTTATAAAGAAAGCTGCTACGTTCGACACACAGAAATAACAGTACAAGGTCTTTAAATTAGTTTTATGTATTTTTTAATACTTTATATTATCTCTTCTTCTTGTTCTTCTTCCACTTTAACGACCTGAATTCATTCATCTTCGTACAGGCGGCGTATTGCTTAGTAGTCGACGCATACGCGAGAGTACCAAGGTTCAATTCCTCTCCCGGGGTACGATTGCGCTTTATTCATCTTCACGTTTCACGTATTACTTTTACATAGGCCTCTCGTTCCCGATGCGACGCATTTGTGTCCACCTTCTTAAATAATTCATTATAGGAAGTGTGTTGTGTTAAGGGGGGGATAACATCACTACAACAGCGTAAAACGAGCATATTTTTTAAAAACATTCTTAAAAATAGACGGAAAGATAACAGAATACCAATGTTCAAAGGATTTGACTGAAACCTCTCGATTCATATACAATTAAACGGTGCGTCGACAAGAAGTCTTTAATATGAAGGATGGCATAGTATGCAAATTCGAATTAACCCAAAAGCTCTTAAACTTTATGTCCGTGGGTAGACAAGTAAGCAGATTTTAAATATATCGTGTTTTGTACGAAGCACGATTATTAGACTGGAATTTTTAACAATTCTTGGCCAAAATATTGATTAATAACTAAGGTTTAAATTAACTTATAAAAAATTCATCACTTATTACACTCTGGAATGGGATTTTAAGGATCGTGTAAAAAATTCGAAAAAGAGATAAAGAATGAAGAAGGTCGTGTTTTGCAAAAAAACACGCGTTTAACGTTTTAACTATCCGCAATAGCGCGGTACAATTAGTTGCATGAAAGTTTTCTATCATTTAAAATTTTTTGTTAACAAGTTGTTTTTCTATAACTTATGAGAATCCTGAAAATAATTAATTTTGCTTATAGATGAAATTAATTTATTCATCCAAACAAGCTGCATATAACCATCAAATATTATACACAGACTAGATATAACATATTTTTATATCACGTCCTGCCTCACTTGCGCTACAGGATACACCCCAATCGATCTAAGCTTGTCTGCCCGTCCGTCCATTTGATGTCTATCCATGAAATGTTGTATTCACCCTATAAATGACAATGATGAGCTGTGGCCGACTGTAATGTTTTTACTTGTTTGATTTTGAATTATATAAATATATGGGAAACATCTTCAAAAGATAAAAGATAAGATAAGACTATGCGAGCATAAGCTTTGATTCGTTTCATGGCCTATAAAGAAATTATTAAATATGAGATTAGGTTTCCTCAATGCATCCCTGCCTTCAATTTTATCCTCAATTGGCTACTTCCCATCTTAGATATGACTTTACTTTTCGACAATGTGACTGTGAGTAGTATGTAAGTATATTAATACATAATTACATAAAAACTTTATAAACATTTCCTTTCTTTTATTGTTACTTGTCAGTTTAAAATAAACTAAAACAAGTAAGAAAATTGTACTTGGCCGCAAGCGAGTCGTTTGCACCCATCAACGCCTAATAATTATCAGTATTATGTAGACCTTGTATGGTCTCTCAACCTTCTACAATATAAGAAGTCCCAGAATATGAAGAAGTCCGAGAACGTTCATACCCTTTCATCAATTTGTCTCAATTCCAAAGCCAATGAGAGGCTTAAATCGAATTGGAATTGTTGCTTTACAGGATTTAGAAGGTGCTTTCAAGCTGAAAGTACCTTATAGCCACTATTTGTTAAGATCACGGTTAATAGATTATTTAAGTAAACGAAAAAAAAAAAAAAAATTATTTTAATTTTAATTTTATTTCTTTTATGTTTTAGGAGCATATTCAAGAAGTCTTGGATAAATGGACTCAAATCGATGACGAAATTTGGGCAAAGGTCATTGTCTTTGAGCGTAATCGTCGTGTTGCCAAAGCTTATGCGCGAGCCCCAGTCTTAACTATTAATGGTTCTGACGATGGTTTTGATGGCATGAGGTGAGTTCTAGCTGTTATTGTATTTTATATGCATATATGAACGCCTGCATATATGCACGTATAAATCCATGCATGTATATGCATATGTTAAACACACACATATATGCATATACACATGAAAAAATATATATATATATAAAATATTAATATGTAAAAAGTAGATGTAATTTTATTTGAATAATCATCGTTTAATTTACTATCAATTCTACATAGACTTATAAAACATCCTTGACCTAGTGACCATATTATGGTCAATTATTTATGCTTTAAATCGCAACAAAGATCGCATAACCACACGAAACATATAATAACACATAGTATACTTGATTATGTAAAGTTTAAGTAAAAACCTCAATAATAAATGGCATAACGCGTTTCTTTTAATGCATGTGATTCGCAAACTTCCATCTCAAACATGTATGCATTTAGTGCCAATACATTAAATGATGATAAGCATATCTTATTGGATAAAGCGAGATATTTTTGCAAAACTATGATGATAATGATAATGATGATGATGATGATGATGATGATGATGATGATGATGACGAAAAATAATGTTATTATAATAATAATAAGATAGCAAAAACAATGCTCATTCTATCTTCTGTTCTCAATATTTTCATATGAACCGTAAGAAAATGTATTAAATGCAAGTGTTGCAATCAAGCACTAGATGTTCCAGTGATCATATGAAGTTTTAATGAAATTATGAATACGATTTTTGATTGATGCCATTGATTGATTGAACTTTCGTCTTTCAAAACTGTCGTCAAGTTCTTAATGAAATACCCTAAGTTCCATAAAATGAGAAAAGCAAGAAAGAACTAAGGCTCAAAATGCTTTGATATAGATAAGTAAAAAATCTTAATATTTGCAGTTCAGAGGATGATCGATGTACTTCAGTTTTCAGTTGAAGTAGCTAAACTTCGCCCCTTCCCTTATATATATTTTTCTAGTTCCCTAGTTTCAACACACACATATGTTCGCTCTTCGAGCCACTTTTACAAGGACGTAACTTTCGAGCTAAGTTACGGACAAAACCAATATACCCGCTCTTTGAGTGATCGCTGTACAACCATCCAACATTGAAAGAAGGTGCATTAAATCCTAGCATAAGTATATTTCTGATTAGCGTACAATTCCGAGACGACTTAGTCACATCCGCTTAAATGGGATTCTTACCGTCAGATTTTGACTACAAACCTACAACTTGGCACACCTTTGATGACCACTGGCCTGTGTTCAATAGAGACCATAGGCAAAGACCGTATAATGGCAAAGTGTTGAGAAGAGATTGAAAACTTTATTATTTTCGCTAAAAGAAAAACTTTGTGATAATTTTCCCAAAAGATGTCTTTATAGCCACATAGTTTTGGGGACCACTAACCCTACCATATCAAAAATCAAGCACCTTAAAGCGAAATGTCCGCAGATTTGAAAAGACACTTTTCTGCCGTTAGTTAGTTGAATCATAGTTAAAAATTCATTACAGTTTACAACGTCATCTTCAATAAAAACCTCGAAGCTTTGACAACAAGTTTATAGTGCTTGTGGCTGCGATGATTTTTCTAAACCAGCAAAGCGAAAACGATTTGCTCCTTTCCGTTCTGAAAACTTCAATGTTAAAGACACCCCGCCCTCTGATTAGTTAACCGCTGATAATGTCGACGAAATTAAGGAAACTCGGTTGGGAAGTTTTATTGCGTTTATAATAAGACCTGACTATTTTGCTTCCTGTATTACCTTGTCGTCATAAAAATTAAAAATTAGACTTTACAGCCTTATAAAGGCTTACTTCCCATGAGGACCCTTATATATGTTGAGGCTTGAAAAGTGCACACGCGTTTGACTTCAATATCGAAATACTCGTATGGACCAACTTTCACCATGAAATGTTAAAAAGTTAGACCTTTGTAAGCCCATATGAAGATTTACGTAGAAACGGTTAAATGGGAGGAGGTCCAGAAAACTCTTCCATCCAATCCAAATTTTTTGCCTCAACTTACAATGGCGCAACACTACTCCTCACCGATTTTATCGGGCGAGGTTTTCGTGACTGCGCAAAACCACTTCAGTATGTACCAAATTCCATCAACACAAGCAGATAAACAGATTTGATCCGATTCAGAATCTTTTTCTGTATCGGACGGAACAACAACGAACATTCTTTGTATTGCAATGCAGTCAGTGTCCACGAAGAGCCCCAAAGCACAACACAGTTTGCTTACCTTTTTTTTTTCTTCTTTTCGTATTACTTTAGGAAACTTCTTTGGCAAAAAATGTTTGGAAGAAACAAAACATATTCAATTTAGATATTATTTTGAAATATTTCGTTCAAGTGCTTTGAAATTTGATTATTAATAAATACAATAAATTCTTGCAAAACTTCGAGGCGAACACTTGTTCTCTTCTCGACGAACGTGTAACTTAGAGATTGCATAAAAGTATGACGGAAATAAGAAGAATTAACGACGATTACAATGACCTCGTCACGTTTGACTTTCGCGTTAGTTTTTCTTCTTCGTCTTCTAGATAAAGACTTTTAAAAAATGCTTTAATTTAAAAGTATACTAATGTTATATTATGTTTGTTGACTGATGGTAGTTACTTAGCATATGGAACGGAGTGTAAAAGTAGTGCTTTAAGCGCATGACTATGCTAAAAAAAGAGTTCGAATACTAGAGTTAGCACTTATTGGGTTAAATAAAATAGAAACGTTAAAACATTCAAATGTTAAAACATTTAAAATCATTTTGTCTTGAAGTCTGACTGCATCGACTCTTACTAGCTTTAGTGGTAATTTTTCTTTTTCTATCTAAATGTTAAGGAGCGGAATACACAATTATTTGAAAAAAAAATTTTTTTTTTTTTAATTACATAGCAAGTGACATTTATGTAAGTTTGTGAATATGTTTGCTAGGCGAATGCCTGCCTGACTGCCTGCCTGCCTGCCTGATGGTATCTGAAAACAAGATGAAAACGTGCCTTAAAATTTTGTTTCCTTTTTCTGCTTCTTAGCGGCTTCTACATTCTAAGTTCGTTACAATGAACTCATAAAAACAACAGCAACAATAACAAGCAGTAGCTTTAACATTTGAAATCATTTGTAAAACACGAAATTTAAAACTATGTAATAGACACAAAACCATGATTTTAAAAATTTTTCTCATATTGTATCCGCAGAGGTTTTCATATTCGAACCTGAGAAAGAAGTAAGAGCGAGATGGTGTGCGCACAGCAACGCAATTGTGTTTTCATAATTTTCGAAATGTAGAAAGCAAAAAATAACTAAATAAAATAAATCGTGTTGACATCTTGTTTGTTATTTAAATCTTTTGTTCATTCAATATGTTTCTGACTTTTCTAAAATATCCAAGCCAGGAGAGGATGTATTCAGTTCAAATCGTATGCCCATAGCACTGATGTGTTCCTATAACAATCGGCACATACTCGTTGTGCTTATTAAGAAAAGTAATATTTTCAAAATTTACTTAACAATAAATGTAGAATTTTTTTTTTTTTGCGAACATTTTGCCAATCAATCTATTTTTCCTCTTGCAGCTAAGGCCTTGAATTGTAATAATATATTTTTACTTCATTTATGATCATTTCCTTAATAAGATATTTTCAGTTAAACTTCGTCTCGAAATTGTTATTTCAATCCATTTGAACGCCTCATTAATAATAGATTACAAAAAGGTTAATCTAAAGCCCTCTTACATATACGTATCGTAGAGTGTGGTGTTAATTTGATGACAACTGAGGACAAGCCTTGTTTGTATTTTGTGTGGCCAGGTATTGCATGTTGTTTTTGACTTGATAGCAATCTAAACAACAAAATTAATTTACATAACTACGTTTACTATAAAGAAAACACCTCCTCCATCTTTATTACTACATGTCCGCCGCAATGAAGACGAGAAAAGAGATGACTAAGAAATTCTTTTTAGAAACCACCTTCGCTTACGCATATAATAAATGCTTACAGAGAGTCAAGCTACGCATATTTTATTTAAACATACATGTATGTACATATGTAAGCAAAGAAAAATTATAATATACTGCTTAACAGTGTTGATAAAATACTACAAATAAAGGCAGTGCGGTTACTGTTCGGTACAAAGTTAAAAATAATTTACAAATAAGTGCGTATCCAAAAGACTTTAATGAATAAATATTTTTGGAATTTTTTCCAGACATAATTTCTTGCTTGTATACTGCCGTATATACATAAAAAGCAATTTTTTACTTAACGAAGCGAGGTGTCTTTTGATTAATTGGAGTCTTTTCTTATGAAATACTTACGAAAGTATTTAAGCAAAACTTCAACTCAATATTTGGTTACGTTAGATCTTAACTTTCTCCACTCTAAGACTACTTGCGCGCAGATTCTTTTGTGGAAATGAATCGGGAAACATTTGACTATAACTTGTTGTTCAAGTCAACGACCAACGGCTGTGGTTGTTTCGTACCTAACACTGAGCAAGAGTATCCCAACACTTTCTCTCTCCTCAACCATCACTTTCTACACCCCCTTCTTTCACTCTCATCCCATCTTTCTGTTGACACTACATTAAACAGAACGAGCTGATGTATTGCGTTAGAGACGCCAGTAAGCCGATCTTTAGACTGTGGTTGGACCGGTAGTCTACCTGAAGCGGAGCGCGTCAGCAGGCTAGCTGGTTTATTTGGAATTGTGCGCAAATTGAATCCGTCCTCCAACACCTCCAAAAGTACAGAAGGAAACTGTTGCGGAATATCCCGACTTTGTCATAAGTGAAACTAACTCTAAAGGGAACCAATTCTGTTAAATGAGAATATGTGGTGGAAAAAAACAGAATATGTCAAGGAAAACTGAATCAATTCTTGATCTGTCAAAGCAGGGAATGTGTCACTTCAGAGTTAGATCTTAATTGTAAAAGAGGTGGGGGAATATACTAATCGAAGGACATAGTTTAATGACATAGACATAGCTTTAGCTACATGTAAGGCTAAGA